TTAAAAAAAAAAAAAAAAAATTACCAAAGGGGGGGGGGGGGTTCCTCCAAAATACACGCATACAAAACACCAAGGGGGTTCACCCCCCCCCCCCCCTGCGTACGCGCCTGGATGCTGATGATGATGATGAAGGAGCTGATGAAGCTGCTGCTGCTGATGACGATGGTTATTATTATGAAAAATGATAATGATGCGGAGGATGCAGTGAAGAAGAAGAAGAAGATGACTATGATGATGATAATGATTTAGATGGTGGCGATGATGATAATGAGGATGAAATTGATGATTATGATGAGGAGGGGAGCAGGAGCAGAGGAGGATGGCAGTGAAGCAGAAGAAGGTGATGGTGCTGATGGTAATGGCAATGATGACGACGATGAAAATGATGATGAAAATGATGATGATGATGATGATAATGAAGATGAAGTCACTTATGGTGATGAGGATATTGATGTTGATATTTAATAAATTGACATTAATGATATGAAGGACGCTTGTGATGATGACCATTTTTGTTATTATTTTCTTATTATCTATTTTTTCTCGGACGTTCTGCAGGACAACTGATTTCATACAGGAAAGTTTTTCCCCTCCATTCTCTATTTATCTCTCTTCCTGTTTTTTATAACTTGTCCCCCTTTTTATCATAGTTCTAGTCGATTTCCAATGCATGTTTTAATTATTATAATCATAATTACTTTCTTTATTGGGTGAATCCCGCAGTGGATGAAAAATAAGGATATGGTATAAATTATACAAATGGATGTATTAGCTTTGTACATATACCAATCTGGCATCTTCCTAAATAAAAGATGATAATGTACTGTAGGAATGAACATTTCATTGTGGTAAAAGCCCCTTTCAAGTGTTGGGAGCCCCAAATTCGCTAAAAAATTTGATGGCAAAGTTTCACTTAAATTGTGTAATGTTGTGAAAAGAGGATGTCATTTAACACTCAAATCTGCAAGGATTTTCAAAGCAAAAGTGTTTGAAGACAAATATTGATGAAAGAATACAAAACTTGGGTTTTTGTGTCTGTATGCAAACAAAATTAATTTTGTGTTCATCAATATTCGCCTCCAAACAATTTTTTCTAAAAATCCTTGCAGAAGTAAGTGTTAAATGACAATCATCCTCTTTCACTACAATTGAAGTGAATTTTTGCCATCAAATTTGTTGGGCTCCAAACACTTTTTAGAGAGGCTTTAACAAGATTTGAATTGTCATGGATTATATATTCTAGGTTTAGAATTAAGGTATGATATGTTTTTTATCTAAGTTTTAACACATTTATTTTAGGCTAGCCGAATATCTCACAAAACTATCAGATATATATATATATAAATTATCAGATATGTATATATATATATATATATTGGATAAGGCAGACAAATGGAACACGGTTGCAATTCCGAGTTTCACGCCTTGCGAGCGATCATCAGGCAACTGGTAGCATGATTACTCTATAATATATATATATTGAAGTTGACAAGGATTAAGATCGCACCTGAGCGTCAAGTCGTGACGTTAAAATGATGTCAATCCCGTCCCTAATTCCAAAGTTGTTCACTAAATCATACATGCAACACAACTCACAAGCAAGATGAAGGCCAAGCAGTTGATTATTATTTCGTGCTGCCAATTTTACAGTTTAGTATGACATGCAAATCGGGTTACTCTTAATCAAGTCTCGTTCAGATATGATGCAACAAAATCGCGGCGTTTTTTTCTTCATTTATTCTTCTAAATTTATATATTGTATTTATATAACGACGTAAAATGTAATGCGATTTAGATTGCTCAGTGTATACACCCAAGTACTCATGTGTGGCCCGCAGTTGCCGTTCATTTACATGGCGGCTTTAATTCTTGCGGTGCTTCAGCGCGCCATACCTGAACAAGCCTTTAGTCTTTACAGGTGAGGCAAAAAAGAAGATTCAATTCAATTCAATTTAGTTTATTTCACTTCTATTTAAAATCCCAAAATAACAATGACATTTCGATATATTATACATCGTCTGAGTCTGAATAAATAATGATTTCGTCCTGTCTCCGACAAGAGGTGGAGCTACACCTGTAACATCCTCCACTTTTGTTAAACCATGTTATTGAGCAAAGTTGAATGAATTGACCTTTGCAAATACAATCATTTTCAACTCTTCAGTTTCAATCAAACCTACCATATTAACCTTTACATTCATGTTTGGGTGAAATTCCTGAAATGTCAATATAAAAGTTTCAATTGTTGTAGACACACAACATTTATATTTAAACTTGTATACGTCTTTAACTGAAATTGCTAACTCCCAAAAAACACTTTACACTTTGGCTCCAGAATTTCTACCCAAAACGATGACATGTTCAATTACCAAATCCACATAACTATCTAGAAACACATTTCTGAGTTATGAAATAGAACAAAACTTAGTCATCTGAATCTGGCATTAAAGCATTACGTTAGAAGTTATTGTCTCAAACTCTCTTAAACCATTTTGGTAATTCCTTTTCTTTCTCCTCTCTTATTTCGTTACTTTAAAAAAAAAAATTAGTAATATACTAATGATTAAATGTAGCCCTACTTATTGAGTTTATGAAATGCAAACAGTTGTAAAACATTGTTGAATTCACATGATATTAAATACACCAATGATAATTACATCAAACTACTACTGTTACAATACTTTCAACATTACCAAATATCAACTACTGCCGTATTTTTAGCTGAGTGAAATAATTATTAGTCGAGTGCAGTGCTTTCAGTATAATGGGCTAATATACAATGCAATAATGTTCAGCTGTTGCATACCCATTTAGACACATTGACAACAAATACTAATGTCCTTTGCTTTATAATTGGACACATAATGTTATTTTAGTAAGACATGTCAATCAATGAAATAACCACAATAATGGTAACTGTTTTGATGAATTACGCACACATAATTATCAGCAATGTCTCGTGACGAACAGGCGAGAACGTTAGACTAAATACTATTTCAAACTTCGAACTACGGTTACTTTTTCCCAAATTTTTATTTGAAAACCTCATTTATTTTCTCTTTTTTTAAGAAAGTAAATGAATTTCATTTTGTTCTCTCGCTTCCATATACTCATAGCAATACAATTCTACACCATTTAGTTCTCTTTAAATGTTTTGCTAAAATTCTGCAAAGTTAGCTTCCCCCTATAAAGCGCTTTACCAGTTATAACATACCCAATCGCTTACAGTATTAAAGGTAATACAAAGTTTTGGGAAATTTTGAAAATTGGATGGAAAGTGATTATTTACAACTTTGATATATTTCGATGCCCCTGTGGATGTAAAACAAAAGAAAATTTAGCCCCTAAAACACTTCTGCTTTCGAGAAAAATTGAATATAAAAATTTACCGGTGCTCCCGGTAAATTTTGATAAATTTCAAAAAGCGCCTACGGCCGTACAAAGGCAGCTGCGACCATGGAAATCTCAGAATATGCAGTTGTGATATATAATTTCCAAACTGGAATAGCTAATCGGTCGATTTTAGTCAAGAAACATTGTTTTATAGCTTAAATCATATCTTGACCTTGAGAGGAAGCTATACAACATGAAGAGCTTATTATTTACAATTTCATAACTTTAGACTCGATTTCAACCGCGACAACGATCACTGGATATTGTAGGATCGGATATCCTTCCAATATGTTCATTTGAACCAAATTCATGACCCCATACCAAAACTTTGTATTACCTTTAATATTACCCAGGTCATTGGATTCGATTACTATTCCGCACATTAAGGAGCACATTCTCCACTCCCTGGGTAGCATTCTAACTGGTCGCTATTTGACCTTCGTTTATTCTTCCGGCTATCCATTTAACACATGGGTGGAGAGGAGCAATGTAAATAAAATGTCTTGCTCGAGGACATAACTGCCGTGTCGGGCTCTAACCAACAATTTTTCCATTCCCAGTCAAGAGATTAAACCACTCGACTACGATACCTTTTCCAAACAAACGTTACATTTACTTTAGATTTCAGATAAGGACAGAGTTAATCAGTCTACAAAAAATCATGAAAGTCAAAAAGTAAAACTTTTGATACTCAATACAAAACCTTTACCACCGTAATATCCAATTGCCTTCGTCACCAATGTGACCTAAATTGACCTTTCTGACGTAATTGACAAACAAACCATATCGTTGGTCAGAATCTAATAAAAAATATAATCTCAAACATTTGGTAGAGAATGGCTGTATCGTATCCTCTCTTATCCATCAACATTATCATATTGAGTAATTGTAAATCGTATTTGAACACGTATATAGAAAATGCACGATATAAATACATTATTGTAAGTAGTAGTAGTAGTAGTAGTAGTAGTAGTAGTAGTAGTAGTAGTAATATTTACATGAGACACACATGTATATCGCATTGTAAAATTCAGAGTGCCTTTGAAAATATATGTACACTCTAGTGGCTGTAGACGTTTACCGAAACACCACAATTCAGATGTGTCAACCATAGTTATATCAATAATTTTGCAAAATTATTTAAGGGGGAAAACAAATTTTCTTAACGCTCCAAATGCACTCCTCGTTGACCTTCAATTTACCACTTTCAGTGAGCATCTACGTTTTGGTTTAAAGGGAAGTCCACCCTGATAATAAGTTGGTTTTAATAAAAGCACAAAAGTGATATAGGAACAAGTCAGTGATAGTCCGATCACAAATAAAGTTACGAGTTCTTTAAGTTGCGAACAATCAACATGAATTGGCTCTGTACATTAAATTTCATGAACTTTAATTCTCTTCGTTCTTGATGACGGAACATATTTTTTTCCTATGCAGGGGTTTGAATAGAAACATATCTGCAATAACCATTATATAGGGTGCATGTATCATTGAACATTTTCTCGAGGGATTTAAAAAAAAAAATTTTAGTACAGAGCAAATGGGAGGGGAACTCGCAAGATACGTCACAGAGTTGCCAATATGTGTTTAATTGATGTTGTTTAAATAAATGAAAACAATTAGATTGAATAAAACAATAAATAAATTTAGTGATAACTCGTTATGGTTCGAGTGTTGATACCAAGTACTTCGAATCTCATAGACGCCGTCGCATGAAATGTTACAGGATGAATCCTGACGTACCGTGTGGTTACTGGCTCAGGAAACAGTATTGTCACATATGTGGCAGCATCAAAATTTCCTGCATATGTCTGAAAAGGAACGAAAGCAATGGATAATGTTTTTTTCTTCTAATAATGATAATAATAATATTAATGATAAATAACTTATTTATTAACCAAGAAAAGCCTCATCAGTATCACTTCTGCTTTCCCTTAGGGCCGTGTAATTCATATAACCCCCGGAAACTTCCAGGTTCCCATTTACACCTGAGTGGAGAATGGCAAATGTTGATTAATGTCATGTCTCGAATCCCTCGGTATAACTCTTCCGTGAGAAGTGCAATATGGCACAGAGACTTTCTCGCCAAGGCACATAAATAATTGATTTTAATAGAACGTTTTGTATTTTTTTAATACTTTTTAAAATCCTTTAATTTTGCACACTAGGAAATGCATGTTTTTGGATGTGTCAATACATGACTGTGTATGTAGATATGAGAAAATAATTGCATGCAAATACATACAAAGAAATTTTAAAAAATACATAAGTATATAAGTAATGAAAAGAGCGTGAATAAAAAAGGAAGATGAAAGACTTGACAATAAAATGAAATAAGCATTTTAATACTGGAAGCGCAAAATGACACTCACTTTTCGTACCCCGCAATGCTCTCCCAGAGCAAAGGTCCAATTTGTATTGTCCCTTGAGTAGGAGATTTGGAATGACGTCACTATTTGGTTCGTTCCGGTCCGTCCCTGTGTGATAACACCAGTTACCAAAGTATCCTCGCCGAGATCGACCTTTGTGTGATTTTAATGATGAAAAAAGAAAATATATTAACATATCATATGGCAGATTATCTTGCATTTGATACCAATGCTAAGGTCAAGCAATTTATATAAAAAATATGAACCCTTTGAACACATGTTGCTTTCAATATGAGGAAACCAAAAGGACTGGTCAGATTCGAATGATACTGATTGTGAGATTTTCGATTGAAGCTACGCCCTTAAAGTATTTAGGGTGGACCTTAAGAGGAAAATCTCGTTTTCGTTGTAGGTTGGGTCTAACCAGCCCTTAAACTTTTTACATTTTTATTACAAAAATATATTTTTCTATCAAAATGCCTCCATTTGTAGCATCGGTATTTGTACATAGACCTATGTATATTATTTTATAGCATGTATCCTTTCCCTTAAAACATAATCATCTGATTTGTCAGGAGTTCTGTCAAGGTGTTTGGTGTCTACAGACTTGACATGTCCCAGGTGATAATATCTGAACGCAACACTCCCCTCTCTCACTCTTCTCTCTCTCTCTCTCTCTCTCTGTCTTCTCTCTCTCTCTCTCTCTCTCTGTCTTCTGTCTGTCTCTCTCTCTCTCTCTCTCCCTCTCGTGTTGACCTTCCGCTTTCCACTGTGCATTGTTTACATTATTATTTATGATGAGGACGCCACCCCAAGCTGTGCTTATAATGACCCTTTCTTCTAACTATGACCTGATGTGACCATATAATTATGAGTAATATGGACAATCAAATCAAATCAGAGTAAAGATGATGACGATGATGATGATCATAATAATAGTATTCAAGAAATAATACTGATAGTTATAATACTGATAATAACAATGATAATAATAATTATAATAACAATAGTGACAATAAAAAACACACAGGATGTTCTTGTACAGCAACGGCTCGTTTTAATCGTTACATTCTTTCAAATATTACTTCCTGAAAAAAAAAATGTTCAGGTCCCCTTAGTGATTATGATAATGATTGGATATAATTGAGATCAAACACGATACAAACGTTCGTCCGACACCAACGCTTACAACAACCATCTTAAAGATAACTCCATCGTCACGATCACTCAACGGCTCCAAGCTTGGGTTCTCATTATTATGAGTTCTTATTGGATTGGATGAAGTAAATGAAGATAGGCAAATAATTAATCACGTTGTGTTATTAATCAAATATATGTTATTTTTAAGTAGGAAGAAAAAAATCGCCTCCAAGCATTGAGGAAATATAAGAAAAATTATTTAAAAGCGAATAAGAAAAAAGAAAGACTTTGGCACTCCATTATAAAAAAAAAAATGGGAATAAACAAGAAAATTGAATGGATGAGGACCGGAGGACTCCGCTCAGTTCGCATTTATGTGTGATTGACCGCTCTCGACTGCTAAAGACTGCTCACGTTTTTTGTTGTTTTGTTTTGTTTGTTTGTTTGTTTGTTTTTGGAAGGGGGAGTTTTTTTTATAGTTTTGTTTTATTTTTTGATTAGGCTTCGTCATTGTTTTGTGTTTTAATTTGGGGTTATGACGAAAAGATTTATTCATTCAAAATAATTTAAAAAACTGAAGAACACTGATTCGTCAATATGCCTCATTATTAGCCAAATATTGAATTCATTAACATACATGAATAAATCAAGCAGAGACGACTTCACTCAATATAATAATGCGCATGCTCGAACCTGATCTGCGCTTTTTTGTTCTTTTTACGAAAAGAGTATATACGAATGTAGAAAGCATCGAACGAAAAAAGAATAATTCTTGGCCTTCGGGCGCGTTGAAGGCGTGTTCAATTGTCTAATCAAACATGGAAGAGCTTTATGTATACACATGAAATATATCATGTTACAGTATGTTATTCTTTATTTTATTCATACTTCTAATCAGTTAGCCAATAGAAAGCCAGGTAAACCCTCTTGCAGGTTCTTCTTCTGGTAATCGCCAAAACTATGCAGCCTATTAACACGAAGAGAAGGTTGAATTTTTCATGCATAGCTGTATTCAAATTATTTCTTTATATGCATAGGTGGGTACATTTAATTCAAATCATCTCAACGCGCATTTAGACATGCTAGAGCAAATTACCTTAAGCCACTTGTTGTTGTCGTTAAGGGCGGCGACCCATGCACCGGCGGATACCCATTCACCGGGCCCCCTTGGAACGGAAACTCCATTTAGCCTTCCTCTGTAAGCTTCATGACCGGAACTCCAGATCGACGACGAGGTCAGACTAGAGTCTGGTATCCGACCATCTTCCATGCCAAGCCCCTCACCGAGGACAAGAGGAGTGCAACCAAGTTTCGCATCGAGGTTCAGCGACGCTGCAAGAAAAAGGGGAAAAAAGCAGACACATAACTGACCTTGTAACTAAATTTCTTATATTTCCTACTAATTTACAAGGCAAGGTTGTCCTTTCAATATATCTTTCCTTAAATGCAATCCGGAAACCTATCTTGTCAACAAGCCATATGACGTATAAATTATAAAAAACGAGCAAGAAATACAATACAAAACAAAACAACAAATGGAGAAGAAAAAAAGGAAGGAAAAAAATTAGTTAATCTACAATTATCATAATTATGAAAATACAAGATGGTTGATTTTTCACGTGTTAATAAAGCACCTGCCATTGGTCCACATGAGTTATCTTTAGCAATATTTTCCTGTATTGCTTGAGCCTGAGTGTGAGATGATTATTTAATCACGTATAATGTTATAAACATATTGGTCGGCCCAAACGAGATTTCCCAATTGAGGGAAAAGATAATAATTACTAAACTTTCGGCAACTGCCGATGAAATTTAATTATTTTTTTAATACGGAATTGTGAGTCAATTATAAAAGGTTGGCCCTGTACAAAAAAATATATATATGCTCTGGGGTTTTGAAATGATCAATATGAAAAAATTACACACAGAAAAGGATAAATGGGACTGCACGCAAATGGTTCGTCTAGAATTTTCCAAGTTTTTACCATTTCTTGTAGAATGATGAGAGCATTTTAAGAGGAAAATTAAGGGGAAAATTCTACTATAATATTTGTCCCCACTGACATACAAAAAGAGAGAAAGCTCACAATTATATTTATTTTTATTTCAGCATCTACTAATATATATAGAAACCTTCTCTTTCAGTAATATTCCTACTCTCTACCTACCTATGGCATCAATTAGAGGTCACTTTTATCATTTTTACCAGAAGTAAACTTTCTCTTTCATTAACAGTTCTACTGTGCACTTACCTATAGCATCAGTTAGAGGTCCATACCCATATAGTTCCATCCTCAAAGAAATTTGACCGTGATTGGTCTTTGGATGGATCCGGAAAGAGCGTCCAACTATCGGCCTAGCAAGCGTGTGAGTCACATGGCTATCACGGTCATAATTTCCCGGAAATATCTATAAAAAACATATTTGCATTATTTGATCAACTAAGATGTAATTTTCGTAAGTTGTGATTCTTGTTTCTTATAATTCATTTTGAGAAATCCTTATTGGTTTGTTAGGTAAACAAAGGCCTATATCATGTAAAACGAAAAAAGGAAGTTTCTTTTCCCTCTTTCCTGTTCCCCAGCTTTAGATCTAAAACTAAGATACAGCGCTATGTAAACTTATTGTTCCATTTTTCTCCCCAGTAGAGTTGCGGCTTATAATTGTGTGCATGATATTGATAATGGAATATAGAGGGGTTTTTCTTCTTTTTTTTTTTTTTTAAATCCCTCTATGTTGCACTGTAAAACTTTTTCTTTCTTTGGTTGTATTGTCTTTATTTTATTAAAACAAAAACAAAAAACAATAATAGAAATAACAGTGGGACCTCGTTATATCAAAACACTGTTTTATGAACTTTAACCTCACCAAGACAATCCAAACGGTTGTATTCCTTAATAATATATACCGTTTTTTGTTTGTTTTATTTATTTATATATATTTTTTTCTTCATCCCAGGTACGAAGAAGTTGTATTACAGCAATCAATTTAACATAATCCCAAGGAGTTCTTACGAGGTTACGCTGTATATTTCTTAATATAAAGACCACTGATTTAGTGTTTTTTGTAATGTAAACGAGGAAACCGCAGTTTTGCATTTACCTCAACTAATCCAGAGTAAACGTTCAAATAATCAGTCCAAGCCATGTTGTCAAAACTGGTCGAAAAGGTGTATGACGTCACCCACTGATCATAGTCATACTCATTTCTACCCTGGGTCGTTATGGCTGTTACGATATAACTGGACTCAAATTGGACCTGCATCCATTGGTATTGGTCGGGCGAGTTTGGGACCCAGGCTCTCTCGTGGTTCAGGCGGCCAAAACGACTGCAGTAGGACGCCGAGTGGCAGGATGATTCGGAGAAAGCCGAATCGGGAAGAGCACCACTTGCAAGGCCGAGTGGTTGACCAGATATATTACACGGGTTCACTTTTGGAAATAAGGTCAAGAAATAATAAAAGCATATTACAGGGTAAAACGACAGAGGCCTAAAAGTGCGTATGAAACACGAGAGTAAAAATTATATTTCACACCATAGGATAAAAGTCGTAAAACGCGGTGTTGCAAAAATGCAACGAGATGATATCTTAAAAAGCATTTTACCGTCCTCGAAGAAATATCTTATGTGAGGATTTTGCAATATCCCCTAGCCTCTCTTTAAATTGTATAAGGATATACGATCTGAGTTAATACTATAATTATAATTTTTCAAAGGAGCCTGCCGCGGGTACGCATATGAGACACCCGCAGATGCCCCGCCGATCACCGGCCGGCCGTCGGGCAATTTCTTTAAAATCATCCGGTGGCTGGTGGGAGACCGCCCGGGAATCAGTTGGTCATCATTCGGTCACTTTCGGGACGCCCTGCGGAGAAGCTCCCTGATTTTCGTCCAGTTTTTACCTAAAATCAACCGTTGACCGACGGGGAATCGACTAGCCACCGCCCAGGCATCGCAGAAATCATTGGGCAGTGCCTAAATTCCTGCAGTGACCGAGCAGGCTATAAATCTGGCGGTCGCTACTCTGAGTAGTGACCATAGCTTTAAGTTAATCAATTTAATAATGTTTAATGATTTTATTCTTGCACAAAGTCGGTTATTCATATACTATTGTAATTTTGTATCAAATTCTTCAGTTTCTTTTACTGCGTATTATTATTTCCTACATGTTTGTATTTTTTTTTTAAATCCAAGTTTTGGTTGGAATAAAGCAATATAAATATTAAGTGTTGGAAAATGCCAAGTTTCATTACAAAAATAGTCGTATGTTAGTATTTTTCGCTTGAATTATTTTGGAATCAACTAGGGCATACTACTACAGGTTATCAATGAATTTTTATCAAGAATGTTCGAGCATTTATAAAGAAGTTGCCAATAAAAATATAACCTATTTTTCAGACTATTAATATTATCATTATAAGCATTATTTTTTATTATGATTACTTTTATCATTATCATTATTATCATTTCTCACCAGGGCAACACGCAATGGAAATAATTTCACTCTCGTTTAACCGTCCCACTTTAGTCTCACTGTACCAGCAGTCGGTGATGTTTGTGGCGTTTGCAGGACATATCACTGATTCGGCTTCAGCAGGAGCATCGATGGACGAGGACTCGTAAAGTGAACCGCTCAGCGTCGCAAAAACTCCTTGTTCAATAAAGTTAAAGTAAAAAGTAGGATACCAGAGTAGTCAAAATATCATTTTGAAGACAATAAATGCAAACCGCAACAAAACATTAATTGTATCGGGTACCACAAGAACTGATTTGTGATGACATACACAATATACAATTTGGGTAGGCCCAAAGAAGAGTTTTGAAAACTGGAAAGAATGAGAGAGGGATTCAGGTTCCTTTTTTTTCTTTTTTCTTCTCTCTGTTCCATTTACTATATTTGTTCTTTCCTATCAACTTTCTGTTATATAAAATGTAATTTTCATAATAATATCTATAATGTTCTCTCGGTAACTGTGTTAATTTATTATGGGCGTTCCCAACTCAAGCAATGCTTTCCGGGTTTTCGCCTCCTTCCGTATCTGAATTATTTACTGTATACTCTTTGTTGAAATAATTGTTACATATATCATGTATATATACATTGTGTTTCATATTGTACCGTTGAGAAGGAAATAAATGTTAATAAATACAATACAATACAATAAATATATAAACTCCTGATCATGACACCAATTTTGATGATTCTTAAACAAATTAAAGGAAATACATCTATAAATTACTTAAAACAAATTAACAATATTTATATCTAAACCAAGAGAACAGAGTTTATGATAATATTTGTAAAAGAACTCAAACGCTTCCATGGTTTCTCAAAAATATAGGGAAACAATAAAGCAAGTCCACACCTTAAAAAACCTAGGGTACATTGTAGCATCAGATGGGAAAAGTATTCATGAGATGAATGAAAGAATTGCAATGGCAACGGGTATATTCAATCAAATGAAATACGTAATAAAATTCTGAAGAGCTCGAGAGAAGACTAAAGACCACAGAGACCTGGTTTTTGAGAGAGATTATGAATATATCATGGACAGAAAAGATAACAAATGAAGAAGTGTTCAGAAAAACATCACTCATCAACACAATAAAAAAGGCCACATAATCATAATTAAGAAAAATATATATAAACTTAACAGGCCCCCCCCCCCCCCCACCTGTCAGGATATTGTCGGTAAAATTGCGCTGCCGTCGGGAAAAAGAGAAAAGGGGGAGGGGAAAAAAGAGAGGGAAAGGGAAAGAAAAGAAAAAAGAAATAGAAAAGAAAAGAAAGAAAGGAAAAGAAAGGAAAGAAAGGAAAAGAAAGGAAAGAAAAGAAAAGAAAGAAAGAGAAAAAAAAGAAAAAGAGGGAGGAGAGGAAACAAAGGAAAAGAAAGAAAAGAAAGAAAAGGAAAAAAAAGAAGAAAAAAGAGAGAAAAGGGAAACAAAAGAAACGGGGGGTGAAAGAGAGGAGACAGAGGGGAGGTAAGAGCCTGAGAGAGGAGGAGTGGGTGTAAAAGATAGAGGGGGGTTGCTGGGTTGAGTCGTCTCGTCGAGGGAGCAAGAAAGACACGGGTAAATATGTTGCTGTGTCGATATTCTTGCTAAATCCTCGTGTAGGCCTACTATATCAATGCAGAAGTTTGAAGTCGGTGAGATGTATATTGTCCCCTTCGAACTGTGATTGCTTATCCGCTGTGACGACTTCGAGAGTGACTACAACTACAATACTTGTATTTTCTCGAAGTTTCACTTTCCTATAATATCAGCTAAAGAAATCAGGGGTTTAAAATTTTTGGGGAAACTAACTTCAAACAAGGATTAAGAGTCAACAACGTTACGACGTATCATCTTCCCTTCTCTATATTTTGATGAAACGCCAAAAATTCAGCGCTTCGCGCGGGAGAGGAAAACTTCATTTAGACGAGTCAAAAACGGTACACGACGAATCATCTGCTTTCTCTAATAATTTAAGGAAACGTCAACGACGAATCATCTGCTTTCTCTAATAATTTAAGGAAACGTCAAAGCTTTCGCGCTTCGCGCGAGAGGGAGAAACTGAATTCAGAGAAATAGGGATTATTAAGAGTCGAAAACGGTGCAACGAATCATCTCCTTTCTCTAATAATTTAATTAAACCTCAAAGCTTCCACGCGCGAGAGGGGTAACTTAATTCAAACAAATAGGGATAAATAAGAGTCGAAAAACGGTACAACGAATCGTCTGCTTCCTCCAATAATTTAAGGAAACGTCAAAGCTTCCGCGCTTCGCGAGAGAGGGGGAAACTGAATTCAGATAAATAAGGCTTATTAAGAGTAAAAAAACAATGCAACGAACCGTCTTCTTTCTCTAATAATTTAATGAAACGTCAAAGCTTCCGCGCTTCGCGGTGAAGGGGGAAACTCAATTCAGACAAATAGGGCTTATTAAGAGTCGGAAACGGTACAACGAATCATCTGCTTTCTCTAATAATTTAATGAAACCTCAAGCTTCCACGCTTCGCGCGAGAGGGGAAACTGAATTCAAATAAATAGGGATAAATAAGAGTCGAAAAACGGTACAACGAATCGTCTGCTTTCTCTAATTATTTAAGGAAACGTCAAAGCTTCCGCGCTTCGCGCGAGAGGGGGAAACTGAATTCAGATAAATAGGGCTTAATAAGAGTCGAAAATGGTGCAACGAATCGTCCTCTTTCTCTGATAATTTAATAAAACGTCAAAACTTCATTTAGACAAGGATTAAGAGACGAGCACGGTTCAACGAATCGTTTACTTTCTCTAATAATTTAATGAAACGTCAAAACTTCCGCGCTTTGCGTAAGAGAACTGAATTCAGATAAGGATTAAGAGTCGAGAACAGTACACCGAATTCCTGCCTTTTCTCATAATTTAATGAAACGTCAAAGCTTCCGCGCTGTGCACGGGAGGGGGAGAAACTGAATTCAGACAAGGATTAACGGTCGAGAACGGTACAATAAATCGTCTTCTTTTCCTAATAATTTAAGGGAACGTCTAAGCTTCCGCGCTTCGGTAATCGTTGGCCTCTACACCCCCCCCCCCTCCCACTGAAAAAGGTCTAGCGACGCCCCTGTCAGCAGTATCAGCTATTTAAGAATAGCTGATAATATACACCAATGGAGGGTCGTTAAGATGATAATTATAATGTTTTACCTTCAAACCCTAGATACTGACATGCCAGTTGTGATAAGTTCCAGTTCCAATAGTCTTGATGTACCAGCACGTACGTGTTAGGACTGGAGCTGGACGTTAAAGCAAGTGTTCCTTCATTTATCTTTTCACCAAGTAGCTTTAACGAATGGATGGTTACATCTATACAGTTTACAATAAAAAATAAGACAGATATATTGCGGGGAAAAAGAAAGAAGATTGAACACCTTTAGTGATCGGGTGAAACAGGTTTTAAACAAGAGTTTACGGCGATGTGTTTTTAAAATGTATCTTTTTTCAGCTCTCCCATCAAATTGGTTTTGCGTAGGGCGCTAAATTGACTAACTCATATTCAACTCATAGTCACTATAAGTACTCAAACCTTAGTCGTTCTAGAACACGTTTCAATTGTGTTAATGTGAATGCAATTAGTGAATAGTTGATGAACGATTTGTGATCTGCCACTCCTATATTTACAGGGCCATCTGCTAAAAGGAATAGTGGGATGTAAATATGTAGTTAAATTGAAACATAAGTTCCCGTTAACAAAGCGCAGGGAAATGCCCATAATCAACGAAAGAGGTGTTACTATTTCTTTACACTAGGGTAACTCATGTTTCGTTGACGATCAGACATAGACGAAATACTTCATGTATGGCTGATTGTCAATGAAACGGAGTTAAGTCTTTTGTCAATTTTGCATGTTGCTACGGCAGGCAGCCAGTGAAAAAGAACTTTTTAAATCAAATTATGGAAATGCAAGCAACACTTTAAACAAACAGAACTTTGTTATTCCTTGCTCAACATTTTTTCCTGATTGAGGTGTCATATGAAAGGGCAGAAACTGAACTTTCTAGAAAGGTGAAATTTTCTTCGAAATTCAGTTACCGCCTGCTAAATGACTTTTTGGTTTCCTTCCTTCAAATTGCTTTTAATCACTCATGTGTGAAATATGCATCATTATATATGCATCAAACAAAACGGAGGATCTAAGCTTTACAAATATGTGTCATTTATTTATAATAATTGTGATTAAATTATGATAAAACATCGATAATTCTCGGTTTCGTTTTTGCTGGGTCTCACTGTATATATCAAATATTTAATTGCAAAAATAATTGTATTACATATCGTTATTCGCGGGGAATTACCAAACAACCCTAAATGAATATCAACCAAATCGACAGATCTTAATTCCCTTAGCTCAAACTTAGCTATTACGGTCTTCCATAACCTTTGAACATGTACACATTCCCAGAACATGTGTAAATATGTTTCAATCTATTGCTTACAAATACAAGTTATCATCAACAAATTCGAATCTCAAGAAGTGTTCTTTAGTATATAGTGCTCCATGAAGCAGTTTATATTGAATTTCTCTTAGTCTGTGAACAGGAGTATCTTTTCACTAAAACTTATCACTAAATATCTCCCTATATAACTCATTTGTAAAATCTGAAAATCCCCGTCCATCGTGAATCTTCAATACAAATAATTGTGTAACTTCTCTATAAAATATTCATCAACCTTCCTCGATAACAAATCTCTGTGGAGCTTCACAGTACCGTTAAGCTGCATTAAGATATCATACTCTTTTACATCCACTAAACCCCAGTTATTCGTTTTTTCCCGCTTCTCGGAATAGCTTCCCCAATATTCCATACATCAACAAGTTTGTTTTAATCTCATAATTATGTTGAAAATGAGAAATTGATCGCATGCCATTTTCAGCAAAAATATCTTAAACTGAAATTATATTGCATTTAAACGAATTCTCATCAAAAATCATGTTCTTATTTAATAAGAATTTTGTATTGTTAAAAACAGTAGGATTATTTTTTTCCTAACAATTCTTACAACCTTCCAACTCTTCCCATGCTTTTATCATTACTAAATAGAACGTAGGTAGGCCTACTTTAAAACTGAATAACTTGGAATCATAGTTACACAAGAAAATAAATCTACCTCCTACCATCTTGAAGCAGAAATCAAAGTGTAGCTTCCATCTCATTGATTTTTAGTCTTTTCAGCCACATTCCACGTTGCGTTTTTACAAACGAGTCAAAATTGGTCATTCGTAACCCCCCTTCATTGTAACCTTGATACAATATTGATATCTTAATTCGATCTTTCCCATTCCAAATAAATTCAAAACATATTTTCTGTATATGATATGACCCACTTTGGAACCACTAGTCAAGCAAAAACGTAATATAATTTACATAATGCATATGTTTTTAATAATTTTTTCCAAAAACACCGTGAGCCCCCTCTGTTTCCACCATCCAAGTCTTTTAATCTTGCTTAAAATCTCATTATACGCCCTCTGAGACTTTCGTTATGAACTCACCTGTTTCACAATGTGTACCAGTCCATCCATCCTCACATGCACACATGTAACCGTTCTCCTCATCCTGGCAAATACCTTCATTGCCACAAGGCTGGCTGCTACAATCGTCAATGTCTGACGGACAGAAAGACATAAAAACAATGAAACATTTAACAGGAATTTCAGGGTGATATGTTGTTTTTCAGAAGTTTTGTAATTCTGCAGGTTCGTATAACTATAGAGGTCCGTTATTCCAAAGGTTAATTCCATGCAGTTCATGGTTCCGAAAGTGAAATGACCCGAAACCCTGACTCTACACTATCATACATTGGCGTAGTACTAATTGGATGCTACCAGTTGAGTGTGAGTCTCATTTGAATGTGTAACAAGGGTTTTTACAGACATGTATCAATGTTATATGACTATTTACTTTAACGTCACCATCCGTAATACAAAAAAAATGAGATACATGCTAGTTGTAAGGTCCATGTATTATCACGAACAGAGACATCTAATCAATGGCACTAATCAGGAATATACTCTAATGCCCTCTGTTGAAAATTTCCTTGAATTTTGTTCTGTAAGGTTTAAACTTTAAAAGTGTTTTTTCTAAAACTTTGGATTTTGTGAGAAAGCCCTACTTGCCTCTCATCTTCTGTTGCAATACACAGGACAAGGCCTTTGCCCTAATGCAAATTTCCTTACAGGAAATCCATATTTTCTATCATGTTTACACTTTAAACATGTGTTTCCCAAACTTTGGGTTTTGTGGGTTGGTCAGCTTGCCTCGGTGAGGGGAGGGGGCTAATTTGCAAATGTGAGGAGGCAGTAATACAAAATTAGGGGTGCTTACCATTTTCACAGTTGGTTCCTTCCCATCCATCCCCACACTGACATGTGTAACTGTTTATTCCGTCCAAGCAAATCCCATCGTTCAGACAAGGTTGGCTCAAGCATTCATTCAAGTCTGACGGAGAAAGATTAATTTAATTTATGTAGGGATAGACAAATCTATTTTATTTACAAAGGCACAAATATGCATCAGTATAGCTCCAACCATGTGTAACTATTTATCCCTTCCAAGCAAATCCCATGATTTTGACAAGGCTGGCTGAAATAATAATAATGGGTTCTTGTATAGCGCTCATGTCAGTCAGATTTGATACTCCTTGCTCTCCCGATTATTAACCTGGCTTTAGCATGGCTACCATACGGCGCCCATTCATGTCTAAGGAGATTTTCAAAAACATTTATATTTGCAGATAAATTCATTAAATTTAGATTTTAAAAATACTGCGTTACTTAGAATGGCTTCATGTACATTGTAATGTATAAGACAATATGATTTAGATTGGTACAATATCATTATCTAAATATCTGTAAATCATGCATGCAATTCAGCCATTGGCTGCGATATGAATAAATACCCTACCTTACCTAATTAAGAACAATCCGAGGACGTTTTTGTTGTTTCTGGGAGGAATTTTCGAAATATGCCCTCCCTTTTCACAAAATCATGGATCCCCTGCTATTGCTAATGACACAGAACAAAATTCAGCATTTTACTCACTTATTTGACAGTTATCCCCTACCCATCCGGCCACGCAATGGCACAGTACATGTTCATCAGTACATGTTCCTCCATTACGACAAGGGTTGCTGGCGCACTTGTTGATGTCTGAAAAAGAAAAGATCTTAAAATAATAGAATAGCAATAGCAATGCCACACAGGCGCGGAACTACGAGGGGCGAAGACCCCTGGCAAATAAAAAAACATTCTCATGAATTGCCCCCCCCCCCAAAAAAAAAAAAAAAAAAAAAAAAGTGCTCTTACCCTTCCAAAGAATGGGAGATTTATTGGTTACGAATCTGTTATGAGTCTGTGAAAAAAATTAAAACATTATACCATAAAGTACCTGGTGTAGTAGCGGATTGCTGCGTTGTCGTTACGGTTGAAGTAGTACGCTGTGTTTCGTTCCGAGAAATTCTAGCCACTTTGTCGAGCTTTTCTGAAAAGAACGAAAATTCATGCAGTTATTATCATAATGATCTTGACAAAGACAGGACTGTAACACTGTCACAGCAGTTGATTTTAAACAAAAAGGGAAATACATGAATAGCAATAAATAGCCAATAATAAAGCAATTATCGTTGTTATTTAACGTTATTATACATGGCCTCATGATAGGAGATATTTTTGGAGTACAGTGGCGCTCTCTGCTGAATGACAGACTGGTAAGAGCATGATGAACTTTCAGATAACATATACATATAGGGACCTTTTTACCTGGGATCTCTATAATGAATTGTCCTTTCTAATTGGAGAGCATCAGTAAACACTGAAAAGTACTAAAGCAGTGATGTTGTTTCGAATCCGGGACACGATTACCTTTAATCATTGGGTGAACAATAACCCGCCCACAAATCCTGAGAATAGATGAAGGCAATTATAGAAATCATATATGTTGCTTGTCCATAAACGAAAGTAGGCCCACAAATAGACATGGGCAGCGAAAGAGGAGAGGAGAGAGAGAGAAATGAATAACGAAGGAAAGAAAGAAAGAAAGCGGGACAGACGGGAGGAGAGAACTAAGGGGACAGTGGCAGGGAGGGAGAGAGAGAGTGGGAGAGAAAGAGAGAGAGAGAGAGAGAGAGAAAGAGATTGGAGAGGAGAGGAGGAATGAGAGACGGAAAAACGGTTATATATGTTTGAAGAAAAATAAGAATAAATTTGTCATTTTATAAAGAAGCAATGGCCTATGTGTATTATATCAATGTTGCGAATGTTACCTACCACAACTGTTCCCTGTAAAGCCTTCGGAGCAGTGGCATTTGAATCCGACCATAGTCTCCTCACACCAGCCGTTTTTGCATGGATTACTGAGACAATCTGTTCATCAAAATTTCAATAAAAAGATGTATGAATTAAACCAGAGCAAGTCGAAGATCAGGCCAAAAAAAAAATCATTTGGTTGTCCTCGACCGCCGCTCGTATTTTTTTATTTTTTTTAAATATATATATATTTTTTTTTAATTCAATATTTTTTTTTTTCATTTTTCATTTTTTTTCCATTTTTGTTTCATTTTTTTTTTTTTTTTTTTTTTTTTTGGGGGGGGGGAGCAATCTTAAATGCCAAACATACCATTTTATGGATTTGCAAGGATCAAAATGCGTCCCGTTGCCAGTTTGGTCTTTTCAGTACGCAATTAGGTATTTATTAAACTTGCCATTTTTAATTTTTCTATGTCAAAATGCCGTTCATTCAAATCAGGTTCGGAGCATTCTTAAACTCATTTTAAAGCCCATCTGTACTAGTTTACAGGAGGGATTAGACCACCCTGCAAGGTCACTGGACAGGTGGTTATCTCATCAAATCAGCTCTCAGTTAACATAAGAAAAAGAGGATCATGGGGGACCAATGGTCACCGATTAGGCATTGTTTGCTACATAGAGGGCGCAAGTAGATATAAGTAGTACAATGGAAATTTAAAAGGTGCTGTATTTCAAAGCCCAAAATACTTTCTGTGTTGGTCTTGATATTCACAATGTGTACCAGTCCATCCATCCTCACTCCAGAAAAGCAATCGAGGACAACCAAACATTTTTTTTGTGGCCTCATTGATAATAATAATGATAATAATTGGAATCACAATAATAATTATAATAATAATAATAATAATGATAATAATAATAATAATAATAATAATAATAATAATAATAATAATAATAATAATAATAATAATGATAATAATAATGATAATAATAATGATAATAATACTAATACTACTAATAATAATGATAATAATTATTATTATAATTATAACTAGACATGTTATTCTTGTTTGGAACAAGTATAGGTGGGCTGTTCCAACTAAAATATAAAAAAATAGAAAAAAAATGAGCGATATACTGCTAAAAAAAAAACAATGTCGTGTAGATTTACGATGTGAACGAAATTCACTTGCACTGATAGGCATAACACGCAAATTAAGAAATTTTTCACATGTGCCTTTTAATTGAAATTTTCACTATGATGACGTCTTCAAAATAAAAAATAATGACCATTTAGCTTGTAGAAAACTGTCTAAATTACAACATGTGAAAATCTGGAGAGAAAAAAAATCGATTAATATTTACAGAGATACACTCAATTTTTCATAAATCTGCTGACGTCATAATATATCAATTCGTAATTTGAGTTTGAATGCCATCATGATGACCTCAGAATATTTTGTAATGGCCAAATGAGAAATGAAATCATATCTCCGAGTACTCCGACCCATACTCTATCAAAATATAAGAACAATTGGGTGTCTAGGTGCATCCCAAATAGCTATGATGGAATTTGTGTAAGCATGTTTTTGCCAATATATGCTATGTATTACATGTGCTCGTGCGCACGGCCATTTATCTTAAACAGACGCTCATTCCGTTATGAAATATCATGAAAGAAAACAAAAGCGTTTCTATGTTGTGTAATGGCGTTAAGCTCATTTTATGTTTTTTATTACCAGAAGGAAAATAGTCGGTCAGTCACTCAATAGTGTCTGATAGTAAAGAAAGTAAAGGGGTTTGCTTTATTAAAGGCACACTGTCCTACTTGTAGCTACTTGCTCCCTCTATATAGAAAACTTCCCTAATCGGTGACCATTGGTCCCCCGTGGTCCTCTTCTTCTTATGTCAATTGAGAGCTGATTTGATGAGATAACCACCTGTCAGTGACCTTGCAGGCTGGTCTAATTCTTCCTGTAAACTAGTACAGATGGGCTTTAATTTCAGGTGCTAGGAAACTGCTACCGTTTAAATTTCACAAATAGGACATACGTGACATATGCATAATTAATGCAATGTTCTACAGAATTTGCCAATTCAACATTCAATTGATAATTGTGACATGATCCCATCATCTAATCAAAAAACTAAAAGCACAACTTGTATAGCTCATAGTCTCAGCTATAACATACCAAAATTCGGGAGAGAATAGAGCTCAAATGAGCGAGATAGTGCTGAAAGATTGATGTCATGTAGATTCATAATGTGAACGAAATTGGCACCTTCCATAGGCTTAACACGCAAATTAAGAAAATCTGCCAAGTTACCTTTAATCGCAATTTTGACAATGATGACGTCATCAAAATGAACAATAATGTGTAGTGATCTTGTAGACAATTGCTTCAACTACAATATATCAACATTAGGAAGAGAATCGATCAATTTTACAGAGATACAATCAATATTCCATAAATATGCTGACGTCATAATATGCAAATTCGTATTTTGAGTTCCAAGGACAATATGATGATGACACGATATAGTTAATGGCCAAATGAGACATGAAATCACATCTCCGACTCCTACTCTATCCGAATATGAAAACAAATTGAGGGTTCCCCTGCATCCCAAAGAGCCTTAAGGGTTTTGTATAGGCATGTTGTTGCCCATATATGCTATGCATTACAAGAGTTCGCGCGCACGGACATTTATCTTGGACGGACGCTCATTCCCTTATTAATGGTCATAAAGAGATAAACATGGTATCAAATTGTTCGGAAAAACATGAGGAATACTCTGTCAAAAAATACCCTGGATGAATTATTTTGCGTTCGGCCGTGACAAACGAAAACGCGCGCGTTTCTTTATGAAATGCTATTGCTAATAATGGCGTACGCGCGCGTTTTTTGACCTGAAATTGACCGGACTGATATTGACCTTGATCATGATAAATATGAATGAGAAATTCCTTTCCGTTATGAAGATATGATCATATTTTGATTTTCACAAAATGGCGCCTGGATGACGTTATCAGTCAAGGTCAAAGTTGAAAACCTTATTGTGCTCTTTCCTAATGCCAATGCATATGTGTGCCAAATTTTAAGGCATTTGGTTGAGCCATTTTCAAGTTATTCTGCTAACAAAAAAGTGGGTCGAAATAAGAAAAATATTCTAACGAAAACATAAGGTGGTCTGTACTATATACAGCCCACCTGATATTACTACTACTACTGTATAATACTACTACTTACTACTAATACTGTATTTTTTTGCATGGTCGCGCAATGCACATAGACTGCATTGCGTGCAATCTCTATGGGAAGAATTTTTGTACACAACATCGGGTGCGCGATCAGACACCCTGACTAGGCCTACTAGATCAATTTTCGTCTACGTCTATGCTGGTACTCCATTTTCAGCAACTAAAAAAACATGTTTATGGATAATTTCACGTACCCTTTTTGTTGTTCTTGCTGTCAGCGAGTCTTGCATTTGATAAGTTGAAATCTTGGGAGAGTTTCTTTAGCCATTTTTGTCTTGTTTGGAATTGTCTTGTCTTGTATGAAAATACCGACCAATTCTTTGCACACGTACGGTATCCTCGATCGCTCAAACCAATTTCACCAAGACTGAACTATTTTTCCGGTAACCATGGTAACTGGGATTTTAGAACTATTTTTTAGAACTATTTTCCCGGTAACCATGGTTACTGGGATTTTAGACATATTTTTAAAAACTATTAGATGGGTTTGAATTTAACCGGGAATTTTACAGGAATAGTTAAAGTTTATGAATGCAATTTCGACCAATCAGATGGCTGATTTCTTAAGTGAGGTATATAGAATAAACTATTACAGTAATCTAGTTTACTAGTAACACATGCATGCATGATAGTTTTCATGCTGTCCTGATCAAAGTATTTTCGAATGCGTCTCAAATTATAAATCATGAAATAGGCTGATTTGCGTAATTTAGTGATATGTAAATCCATATTTACAGAACATTGCATAAACCTTCCTTTTCTTTGTTATTTATATCAAATACCAGAAACGGTTAAAATATGTAATTACATGAGAAAATACAATTTTGAAGATACATAAGTGCCTTCGTTCCTCGCTCGCTGACAATATTTTGACAGCAAGGCAAATAAGGGCAACGAGAGGCCCGAATATCCTCATATTCGTGTATCAAGGCCATGACCGAATATATCACTTTTTATTTATGTACATTTGGCGGCAAGGTGCCCGCATACAGTACTTTAAATAGTTTCTAGTGTGTGGATTACAAACTAATGTTTTACCAGTTTGAAAATGTCTTCTCCTTTTTATTCTGAAATGTGCCCATACGTGTGTGCATAGCACTTGACGAGAGCCAGAGTCATGCAAAATTTATAGTCTGTAAAGACTTTGGGATTTGGGAGACTAACAAAAAATTAAAATAACGCTGCTCTAGAGAAATGTACTTCTATGCATTTTGAAAAGCGCTGGACAATTACCTAAAATTACATCCTTCGTGGAAATAAGCAACCGCACTGGCGTTGCATAAATTATAATAAAAGGTAAATGTGTAGTAATGAGGAAGACAACGTGCTATAGTATTTGAAAGAATATGGGTTCATGCAGGGGATCTAATATGGGCTCGTAGCCATCTCTCAATGTGTTAGATTGTTTTTTTGCTCAGTATTGAACCCTGATTGTCCACGGGGGTAGTTGTCCTTGCGGGTAATTGTCATCGGGAGGAATTGTCCTCGGGGGGTTATTTATCTTTTTATTCTTTCTGCATTACGCACCTGTTAGCAAATAAAATTAAAAAAACACCCTAGGACCAAAAGTGTGTAGGTGACGGAATGACGGCAGTAAAAATCAGGATATTTTTTACAATAACTTTGAAAAGGTTTCGTCTAAAATCTGCAGCCAATTGGGGTGAAGTAATGCTAATAAAGGGAGCTTATATTGTTCACTGTCCCATGGCAAGATTTTTTGGGTGAAGTTGTCATGGTTTACTGGGTGGTTTTATGAAAGAAGGTAGCGGTAACGGAATTACATAAATGGTAACGGAATTAAGTCTTCTGAAATAAGCTTGAAAAAATGGGGTTTTGTAAACATTATGTAGGATTAAATTGTTGTTTAATTGTTTCAGGGGTTGCAATAAATGATTTTATCTAAAACGCAATTCATAATGTGTACTTAATT